ATTTTAAATCATTGCTATAATTTGTGGAGAAAAATGATACCTTTCAAGATTACTCAATGACTTTACCGATGTGATCTCCATCTTCTGGCTTTCTCCCTCTATATTTTGGAAAGAAGTCATTCCCTTGTTCAAATTGAAATTTAATTTATATCAAAGGGAAAAAAATTCAGTGTGGGTGTGTGCGTGTGCAAAAGTGGCTTGCTCTGAGCCCTTTGATATGTATTTGATGCAATACTCGATTCAATGAACTAATGAGCAGATTTCAACATTGATATGACAGTTGAATTGTCGCAAAAAATATGCACTACTCACTGGTTGTTGATTTCATGTTCAACTTGACGTCCATATTGTCTCATTTTTATCTTGCCGATGTGAACTCCATCTTCTGGCTTTCTTCTATATTTTGGATTAAGGAGTCATTTCCTTGTTGAAATTTAAATTTAATTTAACTCAAAGTGGAAAAACACTTTCAGTGGGGGATTTGTGATCCCGGGGATCACCTTTAGTTAAAATGATTTTGCCGATGTAACCACCATCTTCTGATTTTCTCCTATATATTGGATAGGAGTCATTCATTTAAATTTGGTTTTAAATCAAAGGGAAAAAAATTGTGTGTGTGTGTGTGTGTGTGTGTGTGCATGGAGTGGGGGTTGGACACCCCCAACCTTCGAGGACCCCCTTTGATCCAAATGAAATATACAAGTATCCTTGGTAATGAAATTTTCAGAATTATAGAGGGGTCTATCTCCAAGACCATAGGAGGAGTTCGACAACAGACTGACAGACAGAGGCTATAACTATATATATATATATATATATATATATATATATATATATATATATATATAAAATTAACACAATAATATTAAAATGTTCATATATATATATATATATATATATATATATGTATGTGTGTGTGTGTGTGTGTAAATGAACATTGAAGTCAACACTCAGAGGCGACAGAGTCTTTTATGCTAGACGCAATCGTCAGGCCACATCTATCTATCTATTATAATAATGACACAATATTCACATAACAGTTAAAATCTGTTACTCAGAGTTTCATGCTGTAACACAATCGTCAGACAGTTAAAGTACCTTATCAGCCTGACAATTGTGTGACAGCATTGTGCGTTTTAGTTGTAAAAGGGTTAGAGGGGTGTAAAGAAAATGAGAAGACTTTAGGAGAATGAACCATAAACCCAATCGTAAATCGAAAAGACGGGGAAGATGTGCGAACCGGGCGATAGACGAACGTGTTACACATATTCATAATTGAAACAAAATGTCGGCAATGTCAAAGTCTGGGAAAATTGCCAAGCAGAATAGAACTTTTGAAGAAAAGTAAGAATATTTGTATTTTCTCACAGAGGTAAAGGATTAAGTGCAATGCTTGACAGGCTGGCATAATATTGCTGTGCGAAATGCATTATGAAAGAACGCACCATGATCAGTGCAACGCAGACCCCCAAGAATATAAGATAAGAATAGGTTGAGCGGTTTAAGACAGCTCTTTTGATGCAACAGATCCTTTTTTTTTTCCAACTCGAACAAAAAAAAAAAATTTTTACTCTCAGGGAAACGATCTAAAACCCGTCAAAACTTTTAGAAGTGAGCGAGCTTCTCTCTCCCGTGAAAAGGAAAATATATGAAAGCATCAGCTTGTCATCTAATACTGTTGCCAGTCGTATCATTAATTTAGGAAGTAATTCATACCATCAATATCCATAAAACAACTCCATTCAGTAACCATTTACCTCTTTCTTGAGTGGCCAACTCTCTCTCTCTCTCTCTCTCTCTATCTATCTATCTATCTATATATATATATACATATGTATGTATGGAGGAAAGATGTATGGCAAAGTGGAAAAAAGTTTCTAGTGACGCGTTTAGACCTTTAGGACTTCATCGGACTTAATTTGTTATCACGGTGAGACTAGACATGCGCACGAACGAGGGATGTTGGGAAGTTAAAATTGAACATTTTACTGCGCATATGTAGTCGCATCAACATAGCAAATTTAGACTGATGACGTCCTAATATATGCATATATATATATGTTTATGCATATATATATATATATATATATATATATATATATATATATATATATATATATATGTGTGTGTGTGTGTGTGTGTGTGTGTGTGTGTGATAGAGAATGTCTCTAAAGGAATGAAATGAATAAAAAGTGAAACGAGGATAAGATAGTTTTTTCTCGTCTCCTTTTATTCATATATATATATATATATATATATATATATATATATATATATATATATATATTTTGATTTTGTAATTTGATATTGACACTTTTTAACATATAGGATTTTAAACATTTATTTTAGTGTTTATTTACTTCATAAAGGGTTATCTTTTTTGTAGGGTATTTAAACTATTTATTTGGGCTATGGATTATTACAATATAACACCCTTCATAATCCATAGCCCAAATAAATAGTTTAAATACCCTAAAAAAAGATAACCCTTTATGAAGTCGTCAAAAACAAACGTTACGACAGTTTTTTATATGCACAAATCCCTTTCATAAAAAAAAAATAAAATAAAAATAAATAAATTCCATAGACATGCAAACTAGACGAGGGTTAATACATCTTCCGTTTAAAAATTTAGACACCCCCACCTTTCCCTGACTTGACATCTATGAAAGTAACTCTATACTGATACTTATTATTAACACCCAACACCCGCCTACCCAATTTAAACAATTCGCCCTAGCTGTTACCATGGAAATTTGATTTCAATTTTTAAAACACGTAAATTTCAGATATACGTTATTCCCAAAAAAATTCGCTTGAAGATGGAACAGAGCTTATTTTAACTCAATTTAATTTAAATAATTATGTTGAAGTTTTCGGCTCTTGTTTTGAAACATGAGACTTCTTATGTAGCGTTTTGGAATCATATTTTTATATAAATAATTATATTTATGCTCTACTTTTGTATCGAGCACTATTTTTAAAAAAATAATAACTAAAATACTAAGGGACTTTGGATTATTTACCTAACCAGTTTCTTCATATTTTCTATATATTTTCACATATTATATATATATATATGTTTGATTTTTGTAATTTGATATTGAGCACTTTTTTAACATATACGATTTTAAACATTTATTTTAGTGTTTATTTACTTATATATATATATATATATATATATATATATATATATATATATATATATATATATATATATATGGAGTGTAACAGCATAATTTTTCACCCCACAAAATGTTTAATATCTAAAAACACACTAAACTAATTGAGTTTCTTTTTCCAAGTTTTCAGATAAGATGTTTAGCCATCTTAATAGCATTTGTCGTAAGAATCAATGAAAAATCCTTTTGAGTTATTCAGTGAGAAAAAGAACAGGTTAAACTTGTTTTGTGTCAGACCCAGTGTTTTCCCAACTGAGCAATGCTGAGAGGAAAATGAGGCTTTCAGTAATGGTACCAAAATTCATACTCTGGCTTCTATCTTCAAAATTCATTCAAGAACCATCAAGAGAACGGTGAATAAGTTTTAAAAAGAGGGAACAGTAGAGAGGAAAACTGGATTAGAAGGTCACAACAGGAAGAGGGATCATCATTTCAACTTAGACCTAAAGAGATCAATTAGACATTTGGCACGTGAGAGAGGAGTTTCACCTATGACAGTCCAAAGAGCGGTGAAAAAAGACTTGAAAATAAAATCGTACGTGAATCCTGTGAGGCACCTTGTTACTCCAGGATAGAAGGTTAGAAGATTAGAGAGGGCGAAGATCATCTTGAATAAGGTGAAAAATGATCCTGGAATGATATATATATATATATATTTGAACATTATATCAATCGCTCACGAGCTTCCGATCTTTAGCTATGATTGATTAATGTCATTTTGGTTTATGATCGATTTCATCATGATTATTCAATTAAGAGTAATTTCCATTCTTGCTGCTCAAAGTAGAGTTCATTAGTGTTATAAAAATCTGGGATAATTCCAGTAAGATATTTTTAATCATTTCTAAGTTACATCGGTTCAAAGTTTAATCTAACAATTGGGCAATTTTGCTGTTACACAATTTGGACAATTTTACACTTAATTCAGTCGAGAATATTAATCACGGAGATAAAACAATATACAGTGTAACCCGGATATAAGAGACCCGTATATAAGAGAAACCCGAATATAAGAGAGATATTCTCTGGTCCCAAAGTGTTCCCATACTTACCTAAACAAAATAGACCAAACCCGGATATAAGAGAAACCCGGATATAAGAGAGATTTTCTCTGGTCCCAAAGTGTTCCCATACTTACCTAAACAAAATAGACCAAACCCGGATATAAGAGAAACCCGGATATAAGAGACTTCTTCTCCGGTCCCGACAACTCTCTTATATCCGGGTTACACTATACAGTGAAAGTTTCAGATCAAAATAATTACCTATCGGGCCACGAGTTCACAGATTCCCACTTGAAGCTGAATGTGTTGATTGAAAGAAAACGATGTCTTCTTTTTAAAGAAAAGTTTGACTCAGAAGAAGAAGAAAAAACAAACCCAGAAATATAAAGTATGGAAAAGCAAAATCTTTTAATATCACAGCGAGTCACGAGTCTGAGTAAATGAACCTACATAATTTGTTTTAAGAGGATAAAATCTTCCAGAAGCACATCTGTTGGTCGTTAATCGCCCAAGCAAAAATGGGAAAAGCATTTTTTTTTCTTTTTAAACAAGACACAGATTGGCTTCGGGAAAACAATAAGACGAAAGTGAAATTTCTACTAACCTCATAAGAAGGCAAAATAATCAATTTCTTATTTCCAAGTAAATTGAATCGGGGAGAAAATAATTATTCTTGAAGCTTGTATTTCATCCACTTACCATTTTTTTTTTCAGCTTTAAAATTGGATAAATAGGGGCGTTCTTATAAAAATATTTTACTGAAATTGATGTGTTCTCTCAGAAGAATTATTTTACGAAATTTTCCAGTTTGTGTATGAGCTGTCACACATCAAGATACTCTCGCTCTTTGTTTGTTTGTTTCTTTCTTTCTATCTATCCTTCTTTCAATTCTTTCTTTCCATTTATCCTTTCTTCCATTCTTTCTTTCCTTCTTTCTTTCTTTCTTTCTTTCTTTCTTTCTTTCTTAGCGATCCCGGGGTTACAGTATCCTGTGTTCCGTATATTGTCCAAACAAACGAATATTATGAAACTTTCCAGTTTGTGTATAAGTTGTCGCACATCCGGATGCTTTCTTTCTTTCTTTCTTTCTTTCTTTCTTTCTTTCTTTCTTTCTTTCCATTTATTCTTTCTTTCTTTCTTTCTTTCTTTCTTTCTTTCTTTCTTTCTTCCTTTCCATTTATCCTTCCTTCCATTCTTTCTTTCTTTCTTTCTTTCTTTCTTTCTTTCTTTCTTTCTTTCTTTCTTTCTTTCTTCTTTGTTTGTTTGTTTGTTTGTTTGTTTGTTTCTTTCTTTTCATTTATCCTTCTTTCTTTCTTTCTTTCTTTCTTTCTTTCTAAGTGATCCCCGGGTTACAGTATCCTGTGTTCCGTATATTGTCCAAACAAACGAACATTATGAAACTTTCCAGTTTGTGTATAAGTTGTCGCACATCCAGGTGCTTTCTTTCTTTCTTTCTTTCTTTCTTTCTTTCTTTCTTTCTTTCTTTCTTAGCAATCCCCCCCCGGGTTACGGTGCCCTGTGTCCATTATATTGTTCACCCAAACGAACATTCCTATGCTTCGCTAATTTTTTAAATCCTACTCACGTATATAGGCTCATACAATGTTAGACTGGAAGAAATAATTTGTGCGCTTCAAAACCTGCAAAAAATTCGCATAAAAAAGGGCGAGCCGATTTACTGAAGCAAGAATGGCACATTTAGATGAGCCAATGCCGAACACAGACAAATTTATGAGGGTCAACTGGAGCGTCAGCGAAGTTTACGAGAAAAAGTAACACTCCAACTTTATCTTGAAAAGTATTTTGCGAAAGTTGAAAGAAAAAAAATAGCAACGCCTCTCTGAAAAAAGTATTAAGACGTAATAAATGTGTTTTAATAATTTATGTTCGGACGCAGACAATATTAACAGTTTAATCGTCCCATAAAAAGCAGGACTACCATTGGTGTTTCTTGCAGCTATAATTCCGACTTACGTATGTTTCTCTTCTTCTCCTTTAGTCCCGTAGACTTCACTGGGGTGTATAGGACCACAGCTATCAACAACGCTAAGGCGTTGCTGCTAGGGCCGGTTCTAGAGTATCCTGTTTCCCATATATTTGTTTCACCTGTACGGTCTGGTGTGGGTAGGTAGATAGGTAGCACTTGGAGCAACTTCTTCTTTTGTCACGACAGGCTAACGGATAAGCTCTTCCTTTTGGTCAGCGCAGACTCTCTTCTACATTTTCTATGCCCATACGTCTACGAGTCGTTTGAAATTACACTGTAACGGGTGTTCATGAACAAGGAGAGGCATCAGAACTCCTTTCGACGCACGCTGTGGCTGCTTATCTAAGCCTACAGGCGGAACTTTCTAACTTCCAACCAAGTGACACTCTATTTTGGTCAGTTTGGTGGTCGTTTTGAAAATCTTAGTTCGAAGATTTTATTGCTGGTCATAAAAGCATCAGCCATTTCAGACTCAGATAAAATATTTCACCGTCGAATTTTCCATATTGTCTTGCTGGTAATTTGTTTTAAGAGGATAAAATCTTCCAGAAGAACATCTGTTGGTCGTTAATCGCTCAAGCAAAAATGGGTAAAACATTTTTTTTTTTTTTAAACAAGTCACAGTTTGGCTCCGGGAAAACAATAAGACGAAAGTGAAATTTCTACTAACCTCATAAGAAGGCAAAAAAGATACAACAATTCATAAACAGCATTGTTTTTGCACAGTGGGATTTTTGGGGACCCAAGTAATTGGTGAGGAGAATCGAGCTCTTCTAGTTATTGACGTCTTTCGCAGAGTAAAAACGTTAAAATTTGCCTTCCGCTCTGCCTTCCGACGATTGCTTAGGGTTAGAATCACTGACTGATGGCAAATCGGTCGGGTTTCGATCCAGGCTTGAAGCAATCGGATGTCTAGCCACACTGACGAGCTGTGATGCAGCAAAACAGTCTGTATATCGGGTTACTCTTTATATGTTATCGCTCCAAAGTAATGTTACTATTTCCTAACACTTACACACAAATAACCCTTTGTGTCTTAGTGGCTTTATTCCGTTGCTTAGGGTGAACCCGATATATATATATATATATATATATATATATATATATATATATATATATATATATATATATATATATATACCAGTGAAATTGTACGAATCGTCCAATTGTTAGATTAAGATTTGAACCGTTGTATCTTAGAAATGATTAAAAATATCTTACTGGAATTCTTCGAGGTTTTTATAACACTATTAGACTCTACTTGGAGCAATAAGAATGTATAATTACTCTCCAAGCTTAACAGAAGAATCGTGATGAAATCGATCATAAACGAAAATGACATGTTCATCATTAATTATTCATTGCTAAGGATCGGAAGCTCATAAAGCATTGAAAGCTCAAATATATATATATATCTTATCTGAGAACTTGTAAAAAAAAAACTCAATTAGTTTAGTGCTTTTTAGTATTTTTTATTTAGATATTACACATTTTGTGGGATGGACAATTTTGCTGTTACACTTGGTATATATATATATATATATATATATATATATATATATATATATATATATATAGTTTCTTCAAAACTAGGTAATCCGCATGGGTAGACCCAAGGAGGATGATATCCGAGAGCTCAATGTAAAATTCAGAGCCGATATGTTTGAATAAAACAAAGCACTTTAAGGTTCCATGTAATAAGTTATTTCACCATAACCCCATTAACAGGGCTCTGGATCTTCAGACTTTACTTCCAAATCTGCTCTGAATTTACATTGAGCTCTCTGATATCATCCTTCAACCTTTGAAAGTAAAGTCTGAAGATCCAGAGCCCTGTTAAAAGGGGTTATGGTGAAATAAATTATTACATGGAACCTGTTTTATTCAAAACAATACATACATACATACATATATATATATATATATATATATATATATATATATATATATATATATATATATATATATATATAGCGTAGTTGCAGCATAAGCTATAGGTGGGCTCTGAAGATAACGAACAAACGCTAATGTTTCAGAGCAGGCGTCTGCAACAGGGATTGGCTAACTACCCAAACAGATAATTATACTCAAATACTTAGCCATTACACACACAAACACGCACGCACGCACACACACACACACACACACACACACACACACATATATATATATATATATATGGAGAGAAAGAGTGAAAAAGAGAGAGAGAGAGAGAGAGAGAGAGAGAGAGAAAAAAAAACATGTATTTTTTTAACATGAATTTATTTTCCTATATTTAGAAAATAGGGCAGGGTCAACTAGTGTTATTTGAAAGTTAATTTGCGCACACCCATTACACCCCCGCATTTTCCCTTGCGTATCAACAGAAGTCGTTACTAAAAGCAAATATCAACACTTAAAAATTTAGTGGGAAATGCAAACTAACACTTTACCGAAGCGATTACTTATATAGCTAGACATTCCGACACCTTTTTATAGCAACCTACTTCCTCGATGAAAAATTAATTCATTTTAGTTCCTTGAAACGTTCTAGGTGCAACCTACTGCATTTAGTTAACTTGGTCTGGTAAACTGAATCGATATTCTCTGTGTGAAACCAAAAAATAAAACTTGATAATCGTAAACCACGTTGTTTTTAGTTCATATTACAAAAGCGTGTGAAAGAATATGAAAAAAAGAGAAACATTATTCAGGAGTGAGAAGAATAAAAGAAGAGGAATCAAGAAGACAGCAGACAATGATTGACATTTAAATTTAAATTATTAACTATTTTTACAGATCACGATATCTATCAGAGAGATGAAATTTATATTTTTATTATTGCATTATTCCAAAATTTTAACATATCAGCAGATAGCTATTAATATCAACAACTGAGCACAAATAGTTATTAAATTAAAAAAAATTAGTAATTAATGTATAATATTATCCATAACTGCATGTACAAGAATTTCGTTTTTCATAAACGTTAAAAAATAACCATGAATACATAAAAAATTCATATATTGTCGAAAATTCCTTTTTCCACAATATCTGCAGTTGAATGCATAAAATTGTTTTCCAAATATTTAGATTTCGGCATTAAATAATCCATAAAGGTGTTAAATATGCCGCTGAACAAAGACAACTAGACCAAACTATATATCTATAAAACATAACTTTATCTTGAATGGAGGAAATTATATACAAATCATCTCTAGTTGAAGACTTACTACAATTGCGTACAATATATATTTTCATGAAACCATAAAATTGTTTTCCATATATTTAGATTTTGGCATTAAATAATCCATAGAGGTGTTGATATACCGCTCAACAAAAACAACCAGACCAAACAATATATCTATAAAACGTACGTTTATCCTGAATTTAGGAAAATCATGTACAAAATATCAGTAGATGAAGGCTTACTAGAATTGCGTACAATATATATTTAGATGAAGCCATAAAATTGTTTTCAAAATATTTATATTTAGGCATTAAATAATCCATAGAGGTGTTGATATGCTGCTAAACAAAATCAGCCAAGAAAGCAAGGCAATAAAGCCACTAAAAGACAAGTGGTTACCGAATGTGAAATAATAAAAAAAAAGAAAGACATTATTAAGGATGTGAGAAGAATAAAAGAAGAGGAATCAAGAAGTCAGTAGATAACGATTGACATTGCATTTAAATGTTTGAAGATCAAAATTAGCAGGAAGTCATGGAACCGGAAGAGAGTTCCATAAGCGAGAAGTGCATGAAATGAAACTGTTTACATCTAGCCAATTCAACTGTGAACTGATGAGACCTTGCCGCCAATCTAGTACTGCGCTTAAATTCATAAAAACTAGGTATCAGAGCAAAGAGTTCATCGAACAAATACCATGAAAGTATTTATAGAAAAGGCACAGAGAAGCTCCATTATGATGGTGGGTAAGTGTGGAAGCTGGGTCAGGACCAATAATATTACGGATTCTTCATTCATTATCAAGTAGAGTGTGTGTTCTATGTATGTTCAGTGTGTGGTAGTGTTACCCGACACTATTAGGAACATACTAGTAGAAAACACTAATATATTAACTGCATCCACTTGCAAAAAAGACTAAGAATACTGGAAGCTCCATCATTGAACCATCCTTGATAATGGCTAAAAGTATAGCCAAAGCGCTCGGAAAAACAGAACATTCGGACAGTTCTTACACACTCTTTGTCCAGAAAAGAAAGCTCTTGTCAGAACACAAGAAAAATTAAATAAAAAGCTCAACTGTAGTACCTTGTCTGTCGTTTTTAACGAAACATGCATATATATATATATATATATATATATATATATATATATATATATATATATATATATATATATATTATGGCGGAAAACGCCTATTCTATAGTTAATAGACTCTCCCACCTATAATAAATAGGAGTGGTAAGAGTAACGGTTCGGTCAGTCAGTGAGTCGATGTCGGGCGACAGTTAGTCGAATACGAAAGTATCAGCGACCACAACTAGATTACTCTGCGTCATAGCTATTATATCAAGTTCCTAACGTTTTGTACGTCGAACCTATTTTAGGACCGATTTAGTACAAATACAAGCCTCCACTGCGAAATCACTCCCCAACATATATATATATATATATATATATATATATATATATAAAAAATAGATTCATAAGAGAGAAATTGTTTAGTACGACATAGCCAAATTTCTTGGCCGGAGACCGAATAATGGATTCAATATAATGTTTCCACTTCATGTCAGGCGCATCAACCAAGCTGATGGGTGGCGGGAAGAAATCTTTCATATGAATTGTATGAGTGCCCTGACTCGGGTGGAAGAATTGCATGAGTGCCCTGACTCGGGTGGAAGAATTGCATCAGGGTACTGACTCTGGTGGAGAAATTATATGAGTGCTCTAACTAGGGTGGAGAAATTTTATGAGTACCCTGACTCGGGTGGAAGAATTATAAGAGTGCCCTGACTCGGGTGGAAGAATTGCATCAGGGTACTGACTCTGGTGGAGAAATTATATGAGTGCTCTAACTAGGGTGGAGAAATTTTATGAGTACCCTGACTCGGGTGGAAGAATTATAAGAGTGCCCTGACTCGGGTGGAAGAATTGCATCAGGGTACTGACTCTGGTGGAGAAATTATATGAGTGCTATAACTAGGGTGGAGAAATTTTATGAGTACCCTGACTCGGGTGGAAAAATTGCCTCAGTGTACTGACTCTGTTGGAGGAATTGTATGAGTGCCATGTCTCAACTTGAGGAATTGAGTACCCTGACGCCGGTATGTATGAGTGTACTGACTCGTCTGGTAAAATTGTATGAGTGCCCTGACTCGGAGGGAGGAATTTTATAAGAGCCATGTCTCGACTAGAGGAATTGAGTGCCCTGAGTTAACTGGAAGAATTCTAAGAGTGTCCTGAGTCGAGTGGAATCAATTGTATAAAGTACCCTGACTTGGGTGGCGAAATTGTATGCATGCGGAAACCATTTATCGAGTTTCTTCACCTTACCAATTTTCTTGAGATAGTCCGATATTGTTGAAATGCCGCCACCCATTATCTGAGACATTTCTCTGACATTTTTGAGTGGGTTCTGTTCGATTAGAGTTTGTAGATGTTGACTTGTCAATTACAGATGGACGTCCTCTACCACCTTAATCATCAAGACTCGTATCCCTACTGAGGGACTTCAGAAACCAGCAGCGTACTGTCCGATCACAGGTTGATCATTCAACCCATGCTATGTTAATATTGGCACAGGTTTAAGAAGCATTATGGCTAAGTTTGAACTCATTCAAAAGAGTAAACCCATCTCTTTTTTTTTCGTATTCAAGATGAGGGGTTTATAAAGTTTTAAGTTAGGTAGGTTACTCGCCTTTTCTCTTTGTCCCCTTTACCTTCAATCAGTCCCGTGAGTATCAAATTTTCCAAGCCTTCTTTCCTTATTATGCGTCTTAGGTATTTTAACGATCTCTTCCTGATTATAAGGAAAAGGATCCTTTTTATTTCCATTTCCCTAAAAGAATTCCTCGTTTCTTATATGCTACATCCATAGCATTTGCAATATCCTTTGCGGAGCCACATTCCTGTTGATTCAAGTCTCATCTTCGTCTGTGATAAAATTGTTCAACATTATCTACCGTATTGGAGTATTGATATTACATAGTCTTTTCTTTGTTTTTAATTGCAGTTTTCTGTTTCTTAATACTTTGCTTAGCTTTAAGTATCTTTCGCTCTTCCAAGTGCCTTAGGATTTCAGGCAGGCATTTACCCAATTCGTAACTTGCATCTTGGTCTATTAAGACATATCACGTTGAAACATTGGTTCCTGTTTGTTATGGGACCTTACCCATAATAACATAATAGACTATTCCATACGAATAAATACTGCGCCTCAAGAGGAAGCAGGGAGTTCAGTCTGAAGTCGGGCGACCGGCTGACCGGCTGATCGGTTGAACTCTCTGCCTTCGGGCGGGGAGGAACCCGAACGAGGCTAAGCCGAAGGGCGGAGTCTCTTTCGGGGAGGTAAACCGACCCTGGACCCGTTTCTACGGGTTCAAAGGGCATATTTTTGCCGAGCCCACGGGCTCGAGATCCCACGGCTCGGAGATCCCACGGGCTCGGAGATCCCACGTTAAACTGGCCTTGTGCCATGATGCCCTCGTGTGTGTGTGGGGGGGATGACTAAATACTGTTCCGTCTGAAGTCTGGAGTGAAGTCTGAAGTCTGGAGTGAAGTCCGTCAGTAGTCAGTCAGTCGAGTCAGAGGCAGTCCGAAACAGAGTCGCGTTCAGACAATTACTATTAAACCTGATTGTTCATACTAACACTTCTACTTCTCTGTATATATTCCTGTTTGTAATATATCTGTGTTATTCCATATCCGTGTTCGAGTTCTTCTTTATTGGTTCTACCTTGGACTATCACCGTGGTACAAGGAACCGAAGCACAACACCGTTCGATCATCGAAGTTAAGCAACGTCGAGCTTGGTTAGTACCCAGATGGGTGACCGCTAGGGAATACCAGGTGCTGCAAGCTTGGATGTGCGGGTGGTGTAATAGATAACGACTCGAAATTGGAAAACAGAGAGCTGAGTTCCAATTTCGCACAGGTTCGTTATATTATTCACTTGATCGCAAATAGCTTTTGGAAAGGTATGAATCCACCTTTTCTCTCCCAGCTATGGGTTAATTAATAAGACATGTATCAGCGAATCGTTATTATCTTAAAAACGTTTTTTTAGTCTAAGAATATTTTCTGTGTTTAAATAACCGGCAAAAGGTTGATAACCCGTAAAAAACAATCACTAAAATCTTGCTGAAAACTATACAGAGACTCCACTTTTTACTCAGCGAGTCTACCCCCCGTGTCAATAACACTGACACAACCCGTGCATCATAAAAAGAAGCTTAAAATGTCTTGAGTTTTCCCATTGATAAAAAACGAAAATATTTTTGATCAACTCTAAAAAAACTGTTACAATGAGAAGCGAAATATCATGTTCAGTTAATATTTTCAGTTTTAGATCGGCGTATTTAGATCGCAGCAAATCCGAAAACTGAAATTGGTTTGAAAAAAAAGGTCTTTATTTCTCAAGTAACTGACAGAAGTAAATATTCTTTAGTTCCGCCATTTTAGATCTTTACTTCGAGAACACGCCATCCTTGAAGTCGAATCAGCCTCGTTTACCCCGCATTCAAAATAAGGAAAAAAAGTTCCAAGAAGACATCTTTTTTTTTTCTCCAGAAGAAAAAAAAAACTTTGTGGAAGAGACTCTCAAGTGGATTATTCCCTGAATCTTAACCTTTTCAATTCAAGTGTCTATCTTTATCTATCATCCTTATCCTCATAATTTTCACTTTCTGATACTTCCTCTTTCATTCATATCCAACCTCATAGTCCATTTTAACAGCATCCTTCTATCTTGAGTGGCTCTCGAGCCTTGTAAAGGATGAACTTTAGTGCAAAAAGAAAGAATAATACAAATAATTACAAAAGAAAATGATTTATTTATTTTAAAGTTTCTTTTTTGTCCTAAATATTCCATATCCTTTAATGGCGTAGGTGATCGTGGCTCTCCACAAATTCGTTCTCTTTATTATCGGCGAATTCCCATGCCTTGTCTGGAAAGATAGTGGAGTAGTGTTTTGTTGCTTTATTCACAGTTTGGAAGTTCTCCTTCTCTTATACTGGTTAACATCCAAGTCTAGTAAGACCAGTCTACCCTGCTATTTAAAGCTCGTGAATTTCACCATTGATCAAAAAGCGAAAATACTTTTGAGCTATCCTAAAAAAAGGTTGCAATGAGTATCAAAATGTCGTGTTCAATTAATATTTGCAATTTTTGATTAGCGTATTTATATTTCAGCCAATCCGAAAACTGAGATTCGTTTGAAAAAACAAAATATGGTCTTTCTTTCTCGGGAAACTGATATAAAAAAAAATAGCTTCTTCGACTTCTTCAGATGTTTTTTTTTTTTGTCGACTCAAAGATGATCTTCCGGTTGGGGCGGAGGCGGCTCAAGTTTTGTATCAGTAGATTATTTTTGTCTTTTAAATCCTTACAATCTAAAAATATTTTCTGACTTTAAATAACCGGTAAAAGGTTGCTAATCCGTGAAAAAAAACCCAAAAGAAATCAATCAATTAATCAAATCTTGTCGAAGACCATATAGCAATTCCACTTTCTATTCAACAATTTCACTCTCCGCGCCAATAACACTTGCGCAACCTGTGCATCGTAGAAAAAAAATATAAGCTTAAAAGATGTCGTGAGTTTCACTATTGATCAAAAAGCGAAAATACTTTTGATCTATCCTAAATAAACAGTTGCAATGAGAAACGAAATATCGTGTTCAGTTAATATTTGTATTATTCGATCAGGGTATTTAGATCGCATTCAATCCGTAAGCTGAAATTGGTTTGAAAAAAAAAAAAAAAGAAAAAAAGAAAAAAAGATCTTTCTTTCTTAAGTAACTGATATAAGCAAATAGGTCCTTCGTCTTGTCCAGGTGTTTTTCTTTTGTTAACTCAAGGATCATCTTACGGCCGGGACGAAGACGGCTCAAGCTTTTAACCGAACAAAGGTTCAGTTGATTCTCTCTGTGACATTACTGAAATACCTTAAATTATTCTAAGTGAAAATAAGACGTGCAAACAAAGCAAGCAGACAAAGGATTGTGGGACGAAGAGAAAGAAAATATCTTGTATTTATTTGCCTGGTCTAGAATAACGTTTAGTCACCATTACCAAGTCAAGACTTAACAATAAAAATCAAACTTTTGAAATTCCTCTTCCATTTTTTAAACGACAAGCGATTTATTCTTGTCGTCGAAGGTTTAGTCAAACAGGAATAAAAATGGTCATTCAGCTGTTTTAATGGTTAGAGACTCGGAACATGAAATCGGAGACCCGAGTTCGAATTCCGGTAGAGATCAAAACATTAAATTTCGAAAATATACAAAAGTATAAATTCATCTTTTCTATTTCCGCTATAGGTTAAGTGCTGGACTCTTTACTCGGGGTTGGCTGCCAACATAAGGGCAACTCTGAATTCAAAACCGTATATGGCTCTGATGGGCACATACTTGAACTACAAATAATATTCTCTGAGTAAACCGATAACCCTGTTTAACCCCTGAATATAATAAAACTTTTTAACAAGGATTCCTCTAACCAACAACATTTCCCGTAAGACTAAGTCCCACTTTGTTTATGGCTTGTCTCGTTGAAAAAGGACGCAGGCGTGTTCAAAAGTTCCGACTTTAAAATCTTTCCCTTCGTACTTCAGTTTAGTCAAATGGCAAATATATAATAAATATCATCAAAGTTATTGCCAAACTAAAAATACTTTCTGGTTTTTTAACAACCTGTAAAAGGTGATAATCCGTAAAAAAAAAAACGACAAATCAATCAATTAATCAAATATTGCCAGTACTGTTATCATTTTATTGGCTTTTTGTTCCTCAAATTTTGTTAACCTGCCTGTTAAATCTACATATAGGAAGCACACGTGGACCCTCTTTCGTTATATATATATATATATATATATATATATATATATATGGACACTCGTATTCGAGTATACCTGTCTACTAGGGCGGCTAGCCAATACCTATTGCAACGCTTGCTCAGGCACATTTGCGTTTATTCAACACCCACAGAGCCAAACTATGATTTATATTAGAACTTTTTCCACTATATATATATATATATATATAATTTTTTTATAAAGACAAAAACAATTAACTCACTACAAAGATGCGACTTCGTTTCGGTGCATTTAATTGTTCTTCGACTGGTGAGAAGCAAAATGCTTATGAACAATTCTGTTTGTAAGCAAGCCGCATGTGAAACGTCACTTCCTTTTTTTCCATTTGTTTAAAAAAAATACTACATAAAGGCAAAAAATGGTGACAGAGGGAAACCATTGTGCTTGTTGATAGCAGTTTGGTGAAGGATGGTTGAGGTGTTAAAGTGACAGCTAGACCAGAAAAATTTCCTTTTCGACAACAAGGGCCAAGGGTTCAGGCACAGCATTTCCAAGCCTTCTAAGAGTGAGGGGTGGGGGAGGAAAGGTGGGAATAGGTGAGAGTAATACGATGAAAGAGGGAGGAGGGATAAGTTCAAACGATGGTTATAGTAGTAATTGGAAATGTTTTTCCATTATTTTAAAACGAAGCTAGAGCTGAATTGCATATATTTAGGTTGGAATTATCTCTACTAGTTTTGTAATCAATGAAAGTGTCTTGTAAATTAATAAATTAAGAGATGGAGATTTCTTTTCTTGGTATGTTGAATTCATAAGTTATTTGTTTTTTTTAAGCAATAAGCTTCAATTTAGAAATTAAGATATAAGTAGAAAGGTATACAAAATATGGGGAATTAATATAACTTTTATAAGCAAATTTTAACCTATTGTCGGACAGTATAATGTATAGAATAAGTATGGGTATAAATCAATTTAACAGAAAGTATTACTAGCATTATATATGTGCAACAAACAAGAACCATAATCAAAGATTAGTATAGAGGTATATAAGAGGGTAGAAAGTGTTATAAATTCATGACGGTCGTCTTCGAGTATAGAATCCAGAGGTTAGCAGTGAATATTTCGGAGACAGTAGGAAAGCGTTGTTCAGGTTAGCAGCAAAGTAGCAGAGCGTAGTACTTCCTTCTGTCATCTTCGCCTGACAAGTTGTCACTGGTCATTCCGCTAGGATAAACAAAAATGGCCGCCTTTATACACGACGGATACAATGTTCTGCGTCTTCTGATTGGTTAACCTTCCATTGGTAGACTATAAAGCGAGTTAAGCCATTTTGACTCGCTCACTAGTTATATAACATATACAGAAAAAACTGTAACAGAAAGTAGATCAAGGGAGGTGAGTTATAATTTTAAACGTTTAGAGTTATTGATTTGAAAGTTTAGCATATGTTAGATCTTTAATATGCCTACAAAAAACGGTGGTTTCAAATCTTTGATTTAATAATTGGGCGTAGTTCAAAAGTTCAATAATACAGATTTTTTTTCTGTAAACATAAAAACAGGGTTCGTTCAAAGATTTGCAAGTTCTGGCTTGTTTTAGGATTTTCCATTTAACTTTAGGTGTTTTCCCTACCTCCGTGTTTTTTCTTCCTCCGGCTTGCTTACAAAGAGAATTGTTCATAACCATTTTGGTTCTTACCATTCGAAGTGCAACTAAATGCACCAAAACAAAGTTGCATCTTTCTAGTGAGTAAATTGTTTTGGTCTATATGAAAAAAATTATAATAAATAATTAATGCTTTACTATCGGTATTGAGCCCTCTTTTGAATTAATGCTGTGAACGTTAGAATTTATATATTATTTTCGTTCTCATATATTTTTTTATAGTAAGGTTTACCTTTTACAAGGCATGGGGTCTCTCAAGGTAGAGGGTTACGTTAGGGGGCAATTTGTGTGTATAGGAGTTAACCGTGAACTCTAGCCTTGAACAGGTTAAGACCGTAGTGGTCGGGGAAAGAACCTCTTGAGAGTCGGTTCCACAGACA